AATGGAGGCTCTGCTGAAAGTATCAGCTCTTGTCAGGTCTTTGAGTTATAGTTTGGGTTTTGCTCTTTTTTTTCTTTTGTTGTTTGTTTTTTTTAGTTTTGTAGGTTATTTTAATTTTTTTTTTGTTTAAGTAATGTGTGTGTTTTGCATAGCAGAGTTGAAGTTAAGAGTAGCAATTTACTGGTTTTTTCTTCTAAACTTTTTCTTGCTTAACTTTTAAACAGTTGTTCAAATGAAATACGAATCTCTTGGTGAAAGAGAAAGGGTGACATTGTTTATGTGCTCAGCATATAACTTGTAAGGATTTATACTCCCTAAAATACCCTTCTGCTGAGATAAGTTAACTAATAAAACAAACTTTGTTTTTTTAAGAAGAAACTCCAGTATCTTTCAAAGCTGCAGAAGTTTATTTGACATGGGGATTATATTTATTGTGGCACTGTGTCCCCAGCCTCCTTTTGCCTCATCCCTCCACAAACTCCCTTAAGGCAGAGATTAAATAGCAGCAGTTTGGGTTGGCAGTACAAATTACAGGTCCCAGAGTAACACATAACTTCTTATTGTCAGAGCTCTCTCTAGAACGGCAATGATTTTTCTATTACTGTTTTTATTTGTTTTGATTTTATGTTTAACAGTAAAAAGTGATCAGATTTCTTCCCTTTGAAGTAAGGTTTATATTTTGCTTCTTTTTATTTTATTCTGTGTACTCAGTTTTCTGTGTTGTTCACAAAGATGTTATGCGTAGAGAGATTTTATAAGTGTATCTCCATATCCAGGTCAGGAAATTCCAGAAGAAGGGAGAGAAGTGGAGGAATACTCAGAAGAAGAGGAGGAGGAGGAGGAGGACTCTGAGTCTGAAGAGACATCACAGCAACAGCAGCAGCAACAACTCAGTGAGGAAGCACTTGCAGAGACCGGGTCTTCTACTGCGACTTCCCAGGCGCAGCAGCAGCAGCAGAGTGCACAGGCTGTGCCCCCAACTCAGATACAGGCACCTCCCATGCCTGGGCCTCCTCCGCTGGGACCACCTCCAGCCCCTCCACTGAGACCCCCAGGCCCACCCACTGGCCTTCCTCCTGGCCCTCCACCAGGTGAATACTTGATTTACTCTGCTTTGAAGGATGCAGGTTCTCAGTTTGGGAGTTTGGCAGCTGCAGAATGTGCTGCAGATGGAGTATATGTACCCAGTTACCCAAACCTGTCTACATTATCATTGCTGTACCTTGCTTTTGATTGAGGCCTCAGGTTCCTGTAGCTGTAGCCTTCCTGATGGTTGTCTTTCTTAGAGCCAGTGTATGAAGTGGAGTGAAAGAGCAAAAGGACTTATTTTTAGGCTAGAGGAAAAATCAAAAGCCACAGAGAAAGGTTTTTATCTTTTTTAAATTCTGAAAAACTCAGTTCAGGAGCTGTTACCAGTTACTGCTTAATTATATGGGGAGGAACCCTTTTTCCATGATATGTTTGACTTTCATAAAGATGCTTTAGCTGTGTAACTGCTGCCTCTGCTTGAAATTTTTAGAAATTCTATTTAATATGGCAGGTATGCAATACAGCATTCATTCATTGAAGATCTTTATTCTTAGCTGATGAGATAGTTGCTGGGATATATTTTTAACTGTGAATTAAATTTCTTTTGTTTCATGAATGCTTTCAGGAGCTCCTCCGTTTCTGAGACCTCCTGGGTTACCAGGCTTGCGTGGGCCTTTGCCTCGACTGCTGCCACCAGGTCCTCCCCCAGGACGACCGCCTGGTCCTCCCCCAGGCCCCCCACCAGGTCTGCCCCCAGGTCCTCCTCCACGTGGTCCTCCTCCTCGTCTGCCCCCTCCTGCCCCACCAGGTAAGGGCTTCTGTTTGTTTCAGTGCCAAGGGCCTTGTTGCTTTGTTTTTGCAGTCTTGGCTGGGGTGATCAAGTCAGCGAGGTATAATGGGCTGCCAATTGGTCTTTATTCCCATCTGTGGCTGCATTGTGCTATGTGCTGTTACATTATTCTGTGCAATAACAAGTAAGTGCTGTGCATAGTTTGGTAGCAGGAAATCTGCCCTCAAAAAGGGAATTTCAGAGTTTTAACTTCTGCTCTGCTGGACTCTTTTTGAACAGCCTCTGGGTGCTGTAATGATGCTCCACTAAATGAGTTGGAGATCCGAATATTTATTTTTTGTGCCCGGGTCAGGCATTTCTGATGACTGAAATTCCAGTGGGATGGATTGTCAAGAAACTTTATTCTCAGATTATAACTTTAAATTTAAAAGGGAGCAATAAACAAACTCCTGTAGCTTTTAGAGTCTGAAGAGCAGCATTTTCAACCCAGCATTTAGTGCAGATTTGAAAATGTTTTGTTTTTTTTTTTAAACCGGTGCTGCTGCATCTTGTTGGGGGTTGTTTCGTTTTGCTTTTTGTCCTTAACATTCTGAGCCTGTGCACTTCTTTGCTCAAATATTTTGAAATTCCTAGATGTGGAGCCAGCTCATGCTTGCTTTTCTTGTTACAGGTATCCCTCCTCCTCGCCCAGGCATGTTACGGCCACCTCTGGTGCCTCCCTTAGGACCTGCCCCACCTGGGCTCTTTCCACCAGCTCCCATTCCAAATCCTGGGGTACTGAGCGCCCCTCCCAGCTTGATTCAGCGGCCCAAGGCGGATGACACCAGTGCGGCCACCATCGAGAAGAAAGCCACGGCCACCATCAGCGCCAAGCCACAGATCACCAACCCCAAGGCAGAGATCACACGCTTTGTGCCCACTGCCTTGCGAGTGCGCCGCGAGAATAAAGGGGCTTCCGCTGCCTCCCAGAGAAAACAAGATGATGAGCCTGCCCTCCCGTTAACCAAAGCTGCCCCTAAGGCTGGATCATCTGCCCCTATCTCTGTACAGACAAAGGATGATGTGTATGAAGCCTTCATGAAAGAAATGGAAGGTCTCCTGTGACCTGTCGTAGTCCTAGTCAGCTTTCCTGCCCCTCTGAACATGGATCACATCACTGTGGAGGGAGAAGAAGGGAAAGTCCTCCTGCAAACAACGAAAGGGCATGACTGGAAATAGTTCCCTACCCTCAGGTTAACTTGCCAGTGTGCTGTGAATAGAGACCGCTGCAGCTGAGGTGTGCCTGGGACCACCTTTGAGAGCCACCATGTCCACTTGGTGAAAGGAAATCAGTAAAGAAGGCGATGCTGCTCCCCTCAAGTACTCCCCCTTCCGTGGAGGAAGATAATGATACTCTGGGAACAGGGGTGACTATTCCCTGCCTGAATCCTTACACACCCTGAGTGCTCTGGTGAGGGTAGTGGAACAGGTTTTCAAGGAGCCAGAAAAGTGTTAGCAGCATTTCATACACAGATGGTTGTCCGGTTTTTATTTTCTGTACTGTTGTTGGGGTTTTTTTTCTGTAAATATTTTATAATCATGTTTTTTTTAGTTGCAGTGAGGTTGATCAATCATCTTTCTTCCAGGGTAGTCAGGGAGGTAATTTGTTGCGTATACTGTACACTGGAATTTTGCACCCTATCCCCTTTATGATCATCTTGATGGATTTTTGTTGGCTGGGGAAACTTCATTTTGTCTTGTGAAAGACAATAAACATTCAGTGTATCAAAATGCTGCTTTCCCTGTGATTTGTGTAAAACTAGCAGGCAGGTAGAGGGCGGGGAGGGTTCTTTGCTCACCTTGGGAGGCGATAGAGGCATTCAGAACCTCGGAAAAGAAAAGCAATAATCACGTTGTAAGTAATATATCCTTACTTTTTCCCCACTAAACTTCTGCTGTATTCTTGTTTTTATCTCTTTTAACCTTTATTGATAGCTAGTCAAAACATAAGTCCTGAAATACTACTAATTACAGAACAATTTATATACTCTGATTGGGAGGTTTGCTTCATATCAAGCCTCAGATAACCACAGGGTGCATGATGGACAGGCTGCCTTAAGTAAAAATTAGTACAAATTTTAATGTCAAAAGATTGACTGACAGATAATTTTACTTGTGGGTAATAATATTAAGATACCAGACTAGCAGATACCTCAAAGAATACATTTAGTTTGCTGTAAGTTTAAGGCTTAGCTGAATGCACTGTGTTTTGAGGTTAAATTTGCTATAAGGAGACAAAGTTAGTTAGTAACTAAAATTACACTTGAAAACTTTGAATCTGTTTTCACAAATTCTGAACACAATCAAAAAGGTTTGCACAGAAATGTATCAGATATATATATATAATACTCTATACTAATCAGTTAATGTAAAATTTACATGAACCCACCCACTAGTGCTTATTCCCCGCCTACCTAATGCATATTGTGTGATGTAACTTTACACAATTCTTGAAACACTTTAGTTCTTTATTAAGCAACTTCTATTGTAGAAGTTATCAGATGACAGCAGTTATGTTTACAAAAGTTGAGAAGATCAGCCAGGAGACATAATTCAGCTTGTAAACACTAGTTACGGGTTTGATTATAGCAATACTGGAGTAGTTTGTCTCTAGAGCCAGAGAAACGTTTCGTATTAGGTGTTCCTGCCTAGTTTCTACACACATCAGTAGAAGTGAGGTGTAAATGCTCATACTGAAAGTAAAGCTTCTCTTTTATCATAGCAGTATGATACTTTTTAAAGTATCGCTGTAATAGCATTTCTGAGGTTTAAAATACGGGATTATTTCTAAATCGACAGCGATGGCTTTTAGCGGGTGTTTCCCCGCTTCCGGGGAGGCAGCTGCTCTCCTCCGTTCCCCGGGGGCGGCGGGGAGGCGTTTCCCGGGGCCGGCCTTGCTCCCCGCGCGGGGCGGGCTCCGAGCGGGGCCGGGGCCGGCAGCGGGGGCGGCTCCGCGGGAGCGGCGACCGCCGGCTCTTATTGGTCAGATTTGGATCCGCGCCGCCATTGGTCGGAGCGAGTCGGAGCGCGCCGCAGCCAATCAGAGAGCCAGCGGGGCGCGCGCAGGGGCTATAAAAGCGGCCGCTCGCGGGGCGCAGGGACACGTGACAGCGTCAGTTCGGGCAGCGGCGGAGCGGCAGCGTCGGCAGCGATGTCCGGGCGCGGGAAGCAGGGCGGGAAGGCGCGCGCCAAGGCCAAGTCGCGCTCGTCGCGGGCCGGGCTGCAGTTCCCCGTGGGCCGCGTGCACCGGCTGCTGCGCAAGGGCAACTACGCGGAGCGCGTGGGCGCCGGCGCCCCGGTGTACCTGGCGGCCGTGCTGGAGTACCTGACGGCCGAGATCCTGGAGCTGGCGGGCAACGCGGCCCGCGACAACAAGAAGACGCGCATCATCCCCCGCCACCTGCAGCTCGCCATCCGCAACGACGAGGAGCTCAACAAGCTGCTGGGCAAGGTGACCATCGCGCAGGGCGGCGTGCTGCCCAACATCCAGGCCGTGCTGCTGCCCAAGAAGACCGACAGCCACAAGGCGAAAAGCAAGTGAAACAAATCCGAGGGGCGTCCCCGCCTCAAAAAGTAACCCAAAGGCTCTTTTCAGAGCCACCCACTTACTCATAAAAGGAGCTGTACATCCTAGAGAAAAATAAAACGCCATACCGTTTTCTAAAAAGCCAAAATAGAAACCAAAATGATCAACCCCCCCCACCCCAAATCTTTTACCTTAGCTGTTGAAAAAAATTCAAACCACCCCAAACGCTTTGTATTTTAGCTCTTAAATTAAAATTTTGGAAAACCCACTGTATAGCAAGACGTAGATGAGATATGCCTATTAAAATAAACACGATTTATTTAATGTGATATAAATCACTTTGTGCTGGTAGGGGCGAGAAAGTCTGATAAGAGTGTAGGAAACAGCCCACAGCCCCATCATGCCTCCCCTTTTTCAGCTCGGCCCTATGTGAAGTTCAGGTAGTCGCCTGATGTCTTTAAAAACAGCCCTGCCCCCTCTAAACGACTACCAGACCTACAGATATTGTTGGAGGTGTTCTGGTTTTTTTTGTTTTGTTGGTTTGGCTTTTTTTGTTGTTGTATGTATTAAAAGGCGTTCTGGTTACTAACTCTTCTTATTAATAATCTTTGAGCTGCTGAACTAATTTTCTGCCTCAAATCTGAAGGAGTTTGGGAATAATTGTTGATCAGAATGCACAGGCAATCTGAGGTGAAAAAGACTTGCCAGTTTTGAGTCTGTCTCACACATATGCTAAGTATAAACCATAAATAAGTTGAAACAGAAAACCTGCTATTATTTGTAAAAAAACATATTTTAACAATTTGAAAACATAAATAACTTGAGTCATTACATTGTCCAGAATTTTACTATCACCAGCAGTTACAACAGCAAGAGGTAAAAAGGTGTTTACAGGCCTTTTTCAAAATAGTGAGTTGTAGGCATTAATGAACATATCAGAGAGTACTTCTTTTAATTCTTTGTACTCTGAAAACCAATTTGCATTTATTTTTAATTGAAGCTTGGTCTTGGAAAAATGCATCTGAAGACTGTCCCCCTCTCGCTTAGCAGCCAGTTGTTTCGGTGTAGCAGGTACATCAAGACATGCCATTTTTAGTATTAATTCCAATGTAGGGATCAGTCTTACTGTGGCTGGACAGTAAGAAAATTGAATATTTGGGAAAGTGCTGTGAAAGAGGAAACGTAAATGATCATTTGAGCAGGTTTTATTATGTTCAGGTAGTGGGAAAATCAGCTGCAGCAGCGTCTCCTTAGACAATGATGACTCAGATTTTTGTCAATCCGGCTGTATCAAAATATAAACACTGACATATTCTCAAACGATAGGATACTGGTTATCGTTATTAACAAAAACTGGTCGTGTTAAGTTTTTATATCACCTTATTTATTAAGGAAGTATTTCTGTAGCAGAGGACGAGGGAACCATGTCTGCTTTGTGTACACTGAGCAAAGCAGCACAAACTGCTAAGGCTGTAAAAAGTCACCTCCTTTGGTGGGACAAAAAGCCCTTCACAGGACTTTAACCTGCTCCTCGCCTTGCCAGATAACGCACTAATTTAATTTATCTCAATTATTTTGAAAGAGGTAAAGGATTTTGGACAAAGGAGCTAATTTCCAATCCATATGCAGTGCTCGAGATGAGCCTGTGTTACTTCCTCCTCTTTGAAATCAAATTGCGACTAAAATATCGATTTAAATCCACGATTTTCAGCTCAGATTAAGAGAAGACCCTTTAAAGAATACTAATTAATTACTTTGGAAATCTAGTTCCCCACATCGCGGTTTTTATTTAGAAGGAAAAACAAAAGTTTCTGTCTCCCGAGGTCTGTTCAGGTCCAGGACTCGGTGTTTATCGCCTCTTTTTTAGCTCACCCGTTGCCTCTTCGAAAGGAAACTTGGCCGAGGGGAACAAGAGTCTTTCTTTTCCACGCCGCTGCGAACCGGGGGGGGGTCGGTGGCGGAAATTCTGATAAAAACAGCCGTTTTTGGCTCCTAAGAAACACAAAATGAGCGGCGAGAAGGGACCTTTCTGCCGTGCAGCGGGGCGGGCTCTGCAACGCACCAATCACCGCGCGGCTCCGCTCTATAAATACGAGGCCGCCGACTTGCTCCAGGCCCAGTGATTTCCCTGGATCGTGGACGAAGGCCGACACAATGTCGGAGACCGCGCCTGTTGCCGCTCCCGCAGTCTCTGCTCCCGGCGCCAAGGCCGCCGCCAAGAAGCCGAAGAAGGCGGCGAGCGGCTCCAAAGCCCGCAAGCCCGCGGGGCCCAGCGTCACCGAGCTCATCACCAAGGCCGTGTCCGCCTCCAAGGAGCGCAAGGGGCTCTCCCTCGCCGCGCTCAAGAAGGCGCTGGCCGCCGGCGGCTACGATGTGGAGAAGAACAACAGCCGCATCAAGCTGGGGCTCAAGAGCCTCGTCAGCAAGGGCACCCTGGTGCAGACCAAGGGCACCGGCGCCTCCGGCTCTTTCAAGCTGAACAAGAAGCCGGGCGAGACAAAAGAAAAGGCAACGAAGAAAAAGCCGGCGGCCAAGCCGAAGAAGCCGGCGGCTAAGAAGCCCGCCAGCGCTGCCAAGAAGCCCAAGAAGGCGGCGGCGGTGAAGAAGAGCCCCAAAAAGGCGAAGAAGCCGGCGGCTGCAGCCGCCAAGAAAGCGGCCAAGAGTCCCAAGAAAGCCGCAAAGGCAGGCCGCCCCAAGAAGGCAGCGAAGAGCCCGGCTAAGGCGAAGGCGGTGAAACCCAAGGCGGCCAAGCCCAAGGCGGCCAAACCCAAAGCGGCCAAGGCAAAGAAAGCGGCGCCCAAAAAGAAGTAAGATGACCGAGAGAAATTGAGAGTCTACTCATTTAAATAAACCCAAAGGCTCTTTTAAGAGCCACCCACTTGCTCTCAAAAAGAGCTGAAACACTATACATCAGCCCAAATCACTTCAGCGATTTCGGTAGGGGAGTTTACACGGCATTAATAAAGTTCAGATTTTTGGGTACGCGAGCGTTCGGTAACGCCCGCGTGGGATATCGGGGCTTCCTTTAAAAGGAAACTTGTCCCTACGTGCAATTTGGGATCCCTGCGATAACAGCTGCGCCCGCCCCGCCCCCTGCTCACAGACCAGAGCGAGAAGAGGCGGCGTGGGCGGCCCGGCGAGCGCCCTCGGCTCCGGTGCCCGGGGGAGTTTAAAAAGTGCCGCCTTGGGCCGTGATTGGGCCCGCACCGCCTCCCGCCAGGCCCCGCCCTGCAGGGCGGTGACCCCCCCGCTCCTCCGGTGCCGGCCCCGCGCGGGGAGCGAGCGCTGGCCCGCCGGGGACGCGCGGCACCGCTCGGCCCTCCCTCCCTGCCTCCCTCACCCCCTCCCTCCCCTGGCTCACGGCCTTGGAGCCGGGGGAGGCGGGGAGTGGAATAGAGAGGGGATGGGGAAACGTGCGGGCCGTGCCACGGCCCTGTCCGGCGGCAGCTGCTGCGCGGCTCCGCTCTCGCAGTGGCGCGGCGGGGCAGGAAGGGCTGCGGCCCCACTCTCCGGTTCTCCCCGGCTCCCAGGAAACCTTCCAGTATAAATCAATGATCGCTCCCTTCTTTAACTTTGGGACAGTGGTGTTTTAAGCCCAAAACCCACGCGTGTAAAGCAATTTTCCTGTAACCTAATCGAGTCCGGAAACGTACTTGAATGATAACAACCAGCATTGAATAAGGGTAACGTGGTAGGTTTGGGTACATGTAATAATAAACAACCCAGAAGACATACAAAGCCGCCTCAAAAATTAAACCAAGACAGAAAAAAAACCCTTTTATTTTGCTGTAGTGCACTGAAACTGAATGCTAGGTCTTCCAAGCAAAAGGAATTTAACGCTGAGAAAATTTAAGCAATTTTATCTTCCCCACGGGACTTGAACGGGACAAGTTGCTGCCGTTTTCAAGTCCCTTTTAAGATTAAACCAATTACAGGATTTGAACAGGTTTACATACCGCGCACATGCAAGCTTAGCTGGTTTAATAGGTACACAGAAACTTGCTACAGAAGACCTTGTTTACTGATTAACGTGCAAATGGGGTTAAGCTATTTACATACCTCCCCTACTGAAAGCACTGATTCAGCCCTTTTAATTGAAAAATTTGGTGGCTCTTAAAAGAGCCTTTGGGTTGAGAGTGACGGTCCGAGACGCCCTACTTGGAGCTGGTGTACTTGGTGACAGCCTTGGTGCCCTCGGACACGGCGTGCTTGGCCAGCTCGCCGGGCAGCAGCAGCCGCACGGCCGTCTGGATCTCCCGCGACGTGATGGTGGAGCGCTTGTTGTAGTGCGCCAGGCGCGACGCCTCGCCGGCGATGCGCTCGAAGATGTCGTTCACGAAGGAGTTCATGATGCCCATGGCCTTGGACGAGATGCCCGTGTCGGGATGCACCTGCTTCAGCACCTTGTACACGTAGATGGAGTAGCTCTCCTTGCGGCTCTTCTTGCGCTTCTTGTCGCCTTTCTTCTGAGTCTTGGTCACCGCCTTCTTGGAGCCCTTCTTGGGCGCGGGGGCGGACTTGGCCGGCTCGGGCATGGCTGCACTACTCTGACTGCTCACTCGCAGCGGAATGCCGACTAATGCGATTACTCCCCTATTTATAGGGCCCTTATGCAAATCGCTGGTATCAGAAATCAGCGCTTCCATTGGACGACAGCCGTACGACGTCATCCAGAGCACGAAGCGCTTTCCTATTGGTCCTTTTCAAAGCCCACGCTAGGATTGGTCGATGAGTCGAAGGCTATCAGCCAATCAGAACGGGCTCTTTCAATCCCAGCGTTCGGAGCCCGAGCGGCCGAGCCGCGGCCTCTCCCGGCGCGGGGTCACCCAGGAGCACCCAGCCCGTGTGCCCCCCGCAGCAGCCGCGGGGTTTGGAACAACAAAATGTACTTATGGACATTTCTACTGGTAAAAAAAAACAAACCCAAAACCAGAAACAAACAACTTGTGAGGGCATCTGCTACTCTTTTTTTTTTTTTTTCTTCTACAAGAAGGAGCATACCTGCATGCTTCATACAATACTCTGCATTTGTAACAGCCACAAGATAAATGTAAAAGAGAAAAAGATGCATCCAGAAAAGACATAGAGTCTGGAATACAAACACTGTTAATCGTGTTTAGAATTAATCTTCTTGGCCCATAGAGCATTGCTTGTTTTTCATCGATTTAAATGAGATGGAAGCTGTGAATTAATTTGTAACATGAAATGATTTGATTTCTCCTAAGATGTAATAAATATTGTAACTATGTGTTCAAGTCAAGACCATGATAACCCTAAAAATTAAATGTGAATTTTATTCTGCAGTTTGAAATTATCATTAGCCAGAAAACCAAGCTGTTTTCTTGTTAATATCAGTTCATTCTACAAGAAAACATGATGCTTTTTCCTTTTGGAAACTTCAAGGGTTATTCAAAGATTGGACTGACCTGGTATCAGAGGAGAAAGGTTTCTTGTATAGGCCCATGCCGCCTATCTGGCACAAGTGAAAAAAGAGATCTTAGGAAGGAGGGCTTGCTTGTGCTCTTTTTTCCTTTTTCCTGTGCTGAGCAGAAGGATAGATCCCCAAAGATTTCCAGCCTGTGTGCAAAATAATAGTATCTGAAGGGAAGCAGACTGAAAAAGGGTGGGATGTTTTTCCTTCCCAGTGAGAGAGGCTTGCTTGAAGGTGCTGTACATTTCTCCTAAACCATGGAGGCAAAGCAGTGTTTGAAAAGAGCAGCTTAATGCTACCTCAGGTATCCTGCTGCTCTGTTTTAATATCTGCGCTCTCTCCACAGCCCTGCAACCTCTCATCCAGAACAGAGATATATGTAGGGGATTTAGATTAGTTTCTGAACATGATTTCATTTTGGTGTGGTGTAATTTTCTATGGGGAACACAGAAAAAAGAACCAAGAAATCCCAGGTAAAGTTAAAGAACAACTTGGCAATCAAGAGGAGACAGCATATAGCAATAGGGTAAATCACAAATTTACTGATAAGACACATCTGTGTCCCATCTGTGGTTGGGATTTTCTGGGAAATTAAGTGCATGAACCTTAGAATCACATTTGAGAAGCTGGGTTGCAAGGCTGAGGGTAGATATTGTAGATATTTTAGTTCTTGTGATGCCTACAGAGGCTCCCTGCAACAGAAGCTGGTCCGAGTTAAAGGAATAAAGGAGGTATTTATTAAAAGGCCTTTAAAGGATAAACCTGGGGCAATATAAGAGCCTGGCCAGGGCTACACTCAAGATGGACCCAAGATGGTCCCTGAGACACAAGATTTCACACTTTTATAAGTTTTGGTCCGTTTAATATTTGGTCCGTTTAATATCCGTTAATTGTCCAATTACAGCTTCAGGTTATGAAATCCCATCTTCCCAGATTGCTCTCCTCAATTCCCTGTAGTTTATACTTGCTGGGCCTGAAGCTGTAACAGTGTCCTTGGTTCTCAGGCTGGAAAAGGATTGTTTTGTCTAACTCCCCTGTGAAGAGAACTTGCTAAAACTTTATATGGAGTTCAGAGTTATATACCAATGCAGTTCAGAATCTGTAAAATATGAAAGCTAAAACTTAAGGCATAATTTGAGACTGAAATTTTAAGCATAATTGTAGGATTTGCTCCATACTTTGTCACCTGTAGCTGCAAGTTTTCTAGTTTTGTAAATTGTTGAGTGTTGTTATCAGCTGAAGACCCTTTAACTCCTTGGAGAAATATTAAATATGTATGTGTCTTGGTTTTGGAAGACAGGTGTCTGCTAGGGAGGGCAGGAGCCGGTGTTGGAATGAAAATGTAGACCCTTTCCCTCCGAATTATTACAACTTTGAAATCAAGGGGCTTTCAGGCAGAGATCTGGGGATAGGAATAACAGTTCTTTACTAGTATAACCAGGCAAACAAACAACAATAACTACAGCAATAACAAGAAAACAGAACCAGGGACCCCGTGACAGCTTTCTCGGCTGAGACGGGATGGAGGAGAGGCTTTGTTTTCACAAACCCCCTCGGGCAGTCCGTCCCGGTGCTCCTGCGGGGCTCCGAGGAACAGTCGGCTGGAACAGCAGGGATGAGCTGAGATCCTGGGCCGGTGGCTGAGGTGTATCAGCAGCTCCGCGGCGGTGCCTGGCACTGCCACACGTCCCGGCAGGACAGGGGGTGCGAGGCCACCAACAAAGAGGGGAGAAGGAGAAGAAGCAGCAGCTCCGTCTGGGTGATGGCGAAATTCCCTTCTCCCCACTGCAACAGCTCCAGCAAAAAGTGTCCTTCTCTGAAGCTGAAGAAGCCAGCAAAACTGTCCCTGCACTCCCTTTTTTTCCTGCTTCCCCTTCTCCCTGGGCCCAGCCGAACACTTTGTGTTTCTCAAGCACCCACCAAGAACCTGCAGTCAGGTTTTCCCCCCCACAACTAATGGGTAAAAATTCCACAGGTGAGCCAGAACTAAAGGAAGGACACCTAACCCCCAACAATACGTCATATTCCGACAGCAAAAAATAAGCGTATTAAAAAAGACCAAGGTGAAAGAAAAGAATAAACGAGGGGAGGAAGTCAATAATTTTTAAAAAAAACCCGACTAAATATATGGACACTTGAAGCTACAAAAGTTGATTAAAATGATGGAACTCATTAAAATGAATGCAGCTGTAGAACTACGGTAAATAAAAAATGCTGGTTTGTGACCAAAAAATAATACTAAGGAAAAAAATCCCCAAAACAGTGAAAGGAATAGTTCAATAGCTATTAATAAATAATGAGATCATGAAAATGACCAAACCACTTTTTACATACCACTTTTTAACAGCACATGAAGTGGTACAGGTTTTTGTCATAGGTGGAGCAGCAAGAAACATAAATCAGCTCCTTTATCAACACATCAGTCTCATCACATGTTCCTAAACAAAGCTGCGTGATTATTAAGTCAAAGACATGGGACACGCAAAAGAATTTCCCCATGGCGAGAATTTTAAGTGCCACCCTCATAGGGAATAAAAGGAAAAAAATTGGAGCCCATTACCCCCCTTTCTCATCCTTCGGTGGAAAAGGGTGCATTTACCGTAGAAGCGGGACCACGAGCCGCTCTCTCCCCGGCCCGGCCGGGCCCTTTGTTGGGGCGCAGCTCGATGGCGGCGGCGCAGGGCGGGCGGGACGCGGCTCTCCGGGCCCCCTCGCCAAGGGCCGGGTTTTGCCGCAGTCCCGCGGCCGGCGGGGCCCCGCTCCGCTCCCTGCGGGCAGAGAGAGCTCCTTGGGCGGGCGGAGCGCGGCGGGCCCGGGGTGACCCCGCCGGGAGCCGCTCGGGGCCCGGCCGCCTTTGGGCTCCCGGGGGCGGGAGCGGGCGCGAGCCGGGAGCGCGCGCGGCCCCGCGGGGAGAGAGGGCGGGAAAGCGGCGGCCCGCGGGGGGAAGGGCGCGCGCAGAGCCCGCCCCAGCGCGGTTCTCAACCAGGTCGGAACCGCAGCAATAAAGAGAGGAGCGGGAAGAAAGGCGGCACTGAGCGGAGCTTGGTTGTAGCGGCGTCATGTCTGGTAGGGGCAAGGGAGGCAAGGGGCTCGGCAAGGGAGGCGCCAAGCGGCACCGCAAAGTGCTGCGTGACAACATCCAGGGCATCACCAAGCCGGCCATCCGCCGCCTGGCTCGGCGCGGCGGCGTCAAGCGCATCTCGGGGCTCATCTACGAGGAGACGCGCGGCGTGCTCAAGGTGTTCCTGGAGAACGTGATCCGCGACGCCGTCACCTACACGGAGCACGCCAAGAGGAAGACGGTCACCGCCATGGACGTGGTGTACGCCCTCAAACGCCAGGGCCGCACTCTGTACGGCTTTGGCGGCTAAACTCCACTCGTTGAAGCTCATACTGTCTGAAAACACCAAGGCTCTTTTCAGAGCCACCCACAAATCTCACAATAAGAGCTGTTTATTACTGGCCTATTTGTGTGTATGTTAAGGCTTTCAAAACACGTGAGAAGCAGTTAAAGTGCTAAAGTTAAACTGTATAATTCACAAGATTATAAATACTTGTAAAACTGAATAACTAAATGCACCATTGCATGTCCACACAGTGCAGTTCGCATCGCGCACTGCATTTCTATGTTCTTAGATCCAGAACCCTGACTGCAACTGGGATTGTGTAAATGCAGGGCTTCAGCTCTGGCGGTGATAGGACGGGAGTGCATGAAATGACGTTGTACTTTTTACTCCAATAGGAATTGAAAGGTTATAATCCTCTCATTTGCATAACGCCATTATAAATAGAGGGGGTAGGCGCCATTTTCGAGGTTGCTGTGCTACAGTGAAGATCTTGGAAACGCAACGTTAAGGATGCCTGAGCCGGCGAAATCTGCTCCTGCACCGAAGAAAGGCTCCAAGAAGGCTGTCACTAAGACTCAGAAGAAAGGAGACAAGAAGCGGAAGAGAGCAAGGAAAGAGAGCTACTCCATCTACGTGTACAAGGTGCTGAAGCAGGTGCACCCCGACACGGGCATCTCGTCCAAGGCCATGGGCATCATGACCTCCTTCGTGAACGACATCTTCGAGCGCATCGCCGGCGAGGCGTCGCGCCTGGCGCACTACAACAAGCGCTCCACCATCACGTCGCGGGAGATCCAGACGGCCGTGCGGCTGCTGCTGCCCGGCGAGCTGGCCAAGCACGCCGTGTCCGAGGGCACCAAGGCTGTCACCAAGTACACCAGCTCCAAGTGAAAGAATATTAAAATTTTAAACCAAACGGCTCTTTTAAGAGCCACCACACGTTCATAATGAGAGCTGTGATTACAAATACAGTATGAGTTTTTATCATGTAGATTATATAATACAAGAAAATCTTAAGTATCTCATTCAAAGTACGAAACATTGAGTAACTCAAGAGTTACTTGTTCTCTGCATTACTAGCTTTAGCGATTACAAGCTCTAGTAGTGAAATGTGTGTGTGGCTCTGAAAAGAGCCTTGGTGCTTAAAACAGTATGAACTTTAAGGGTTTTAGTTTAGCCGCCAAAGCCGTACAGAGTGCGGCCCTGGCGCTTGAGGGCGTACACCACGTCCATGGCGGTGACCGTCTTCCTCTTGGCGTGCTCCGTGTAGGTGACGGCGTCACGGATCACGTTCTCCAGGAACACCTTGAGCACGCCGCGCGTCTCCTCGTAGATGAGCCCCGAGATGCGCTTGACGCCGCCGCGCCGAGCCAGGCGGCGGATGGCCGGCTTGGTGATGCCCTGGATGTTGTCACGCAGCACCTTACGGTGCCGCTTGGCGCCTCCTTTGCCGAGCCCCTTGCCGCCCTTGCCCCTACCAGACATTGTACCGCTCGCTACAACGCTACTATGAGCGCCAGCGCCCGCCCCCAGCTGCGCTTTATTCCCCGCGGTCCGACCTGGTTGAGGACTGCAGCAGCAGGCGTGGTCTCGAGTCCACTCCCTGCCCGCCGCTCCCGTGGTCCCCCTCTCGCGAGGCTTCCCGCGAGACTCGGCCCAGGCGCTTTCCCCGCCGTGCCCCCCCCCGCGCTCCTCCCCCTCCTCTCTCTGCTGCTTCCCCATTTCCCGGCCCGGCCGTGCCCCCGAGCCGTGCCAGCTCTCCGGGAGCTCTGCGTCTCCGCCAGGAGACAGGGAGCAGGAGCAGGGACTGCGGTGCCCTCTTCCGGCACCCCCTTCCCTTCCCCGCGGGTTTGCGGCAAAATCCTACCAATGCGGGCACTCGGCCGGCGCTCCCGCCCCTCCGCTGCTCTCTGCCCGCCTATCCCGGCTTCTGCTTTTCCTTTGGACGTTTCGAGTGTCCCTTCTTAATTTTTTTTGGTTATTAGAATTTGCCTGCATAGACATCTTCCTCGCGAAAATTTATATAACGTCTGCCAGCCTTCTCCTCTGCGACCTACTGCTTCTTTCTGTTACTTAGTTCTTTTTATTTCAAACAGGAGGGGAAGGAAACGCTCAAGCCGTGTCATGGCTAGAGTGCACTCCCGTGCTAACACGTACATATTATCTGTCATACCTTTACCTATCTAGCATCATTTTAACTATTTCTAGGAAAGCTCAGAGCCTAGAGGATTTTAAAAGAACAGATTGTAAGGAAGAATCAGCAACGTTTTCTGGGAATGCTTCTGTGGAAAACGAGGTTCATAATTTCGTTATATGTTCATAAAAACATAATTTTTATAGGATTTAAAATTTTAATAAAAAAGACAATTAAGAGAAAAAAATAAAGTATACAGATACGGCCGGGTGTCTGCATTCAGCCAAGAGAGCACACCTTACTAACAAAGGGGATTGTCCCTTAAAAGCAGAACCTTATTACATATGCATAAATTCTCATACATATTCATACATTCTTCTTAGGATCTTCGGTGTTCTTCTGTTTAGTTTTCACTTGCCCCCTTCCCAATAGATCAATCTTCTTGGCGCCATTGAGATTTACATTCCCTGATACCAGAAATGCAATAAATTCCTCCCCCAGAGCTCTGGTCACTGCTGTCCTCATCTGGACAAGAAAATCTAAGAATAGAGGGGGGGTCTCCAGCTATCTTTTTCAGTCTTTGGTTTATACAATCAAAAGTAGTTTTTGTTTTAATACTATGCCATAATTCAACATATATGTATATTATACTGCTATTTCTAAGTTTCATCAATAACAGAAGGAACTAGATTAATATAACAAGTTGTCTAACCTTATACATATAACATTCATTTTAATATTTGTGAAAAGCCAACAATATAATAAATATCTATAACATTTCCTACTAGGGAAGTAGGAGACTTGTTCTTGTTCTGCACTGTAGTGGAAGTGAAGGACTATTTCAAGTTTCTCACACAAATTTTTGGGTTATGTCCTTGTTAAACATGCACCATTTAAAATAGGAACACTAATCATCTTTTTAACCGTCAATACTAAACTACAGATCAATGTTCTAGTACTACCAAGTTTCCTGGATTAAGGCAGAGTTGCATAAACTAATAGCTTTTTCCTTTCTGACACAGATACTCTAATTTATATTGAGATTCAATTCAATTTCACAATTAAAAAAACTTTTGGGGCAATTTGGCATTTTACCCAATAGCAAAAATTTTCACAAATTTCTATTGATTTTTGGTAATAATAAATAATCTTTATAGTTAATAGAGGAATATTAACATAGAAATAAGTCTTCAAGAAGTGTGAAAAGAAGAATTTCCCAAAGAACCTTTTAGGGTTTTTATTTTGGTGTGGTTACTGTTTTAATTTGCATTTGGTCTTCATATTCTGAGAACTCAGCATTATAAAATATTTTCAGTGGCAAATTTTATGCAACTTCTTTGAATAAGAGAAGAAAAAGAATGTGCTGCTATAACAATGCCCCTATGCCCCAGCATCCTTAATTCTTATTATTGACTCCCACATTTTAGGGTAAGAAATTTATGTCCTTCCTTACCTCCTCTGGCTTATCCTGTCAAAAGCATGGCAGATACATCTTCAAATAGGATTTTGCTGGCTTTTTTGTAAGATAAGATAGATTTATCCGAATTACTTTTTCCAAACACAGGAACATAATGAAACAATTCTGGGTTTTGGTTCATTGGTATTTTTACTTGCTTGTTTTAATATCTGTGGTTATCTTTTAACTCTTTTTCTATTTCCCTCTACAGCAGACAACTTTGTTCAAAAGTCTTCAGCCTTCTTTTATGAAGCTGTAAGTCTACTGATAGAATCTATTTTATAACTTAGGCAACTGCGTGTTTTGGAATTGTAACTCCAGCACTTAGGGATGTATCATAGTTGAATTGATTTTTATTCTTCCCTAACATGAGGCCCTTTTGGCTTTCCTAATAGATCACTTTCTTACAATCACCACTAGCCAACTTCCTATTTAATTCCTACATTTAAACTGAAGTCTTTCTACAGGAAAGTGATTGATCCATTAGCATGTGTGTGACACCCTCCAGTCACATGAGCCTATTACATTTAGAAAGCAAAAAACAAAGGAGGATAATAAGTAACTCTTAAACATTATTTATAATGTGTTTAAAAAAACCAAGCCAGCCTCACCTCCTAAACTGTTGAGGACATAAAGTTTTAGGACTTGAAAGTGTTCTTAAAATACGACATATACAACTGCTTGCAAAATACTGTGTATTATGAAATACTTCTGATGTAGTCTTACAGCAATGCATTTCAGGGGCATTAAATTTAATGAATTTAAGATAAATTTTGTAAGGATGTTAAGAACTTCCTATTCTTCCCATTTAAAGATCCCAGTTACAGGTAACAGCAAGGACTGGCCTGGAAATGCTGCTGACTCTGTTAGTTTTCAAACATTGGATGCAGAGCTGGGGGTTACATTTTTGTTCTGGAAAAAATTCTGTTATATTTGCCTAGACTGAGAATACCAAAGGAGCCTGAGAGTGACAAATGTTGGCAACACCTCCATTTCTCTTTGGTGTCTGCATAGTTACCACTCTTAAAGTTTTAAATGCATCTATCCTGGAAGCAGACTAGTCCACATTCATGTAATGATCTTAATTTTTTCCAAAAACATTCCTTTTTCCTACAAACAAAACAATAACAACCTGACAGATGAGTCTGCCTGGGAGAACTGATGGGAAGATCAAAAGTGGCCCAAATAAGGAAAATAACATTCAATTTTAGCAACCAACACCATACTTCATTTAGGAAAAAGGAAGGGAAGAAAACATTCCTTAATTTTCTATTTGAAAATGTAATTAACTTGAATTGCAGCTGGCCCTGTTTGTTACTTAGAAGTCCTTCAATCTCAGTGTGACAATGATTTTGACAGAGCTAGTTGACTGCAGCAAAGCATTCAGAATCTCTCAAGTGCTATTTATCATTGCATTGGTGCAATGGAGATCTTAGCTGTTTTTCCTATATTAGCAGTAGTCTGAATTAACTCAGGAAACATTCAGACCTCAGCACACTGAATTGGCATCTAAAACACACAAAGATTTATGTTTTACTTTTGGCTGTTCCTGAAAAGCTGTCTCAGAAACGCTTCTTGTTTGTTTGTTTTGTTTATTTGTTTTTGGTTTTTTGTGTTTGGTTTTGTTTTGTTTTTTTTTGTCATGCTTCTTACATCATACCTTAGGCTCTAGGTCCTTGTTTTCATTATAACATTGGCATACTGCCCTAAAATCAATGGGATCATATGGAACACTTACTGAAAAGTATATCATGTGCCCTCTGGATCAATTACTTTCCTATTGATGGCATCACAAATTGAAGCTCTTACAGGCCAAAATTTTGTATAGCATTAAAGATCCATCTTGATGGATAAGTGCTGTGCTTGGAAGAGCATAAAAATAAAAAGCCATGGGCAGAGAGAAAGGGGATACTCATAAATACATCAAATATTCATGGCATGGGGATAGCATGCAGTGAAATGGAAGATCTTCAGAAACAGATTGTGATGAGCAAGAATAAAATGTGGAGAGAGAAGCAATAAGGACACAGAGGATATATAATTGGGTATTTTAATATCTCAATTACATTAACCTCCACATGAGAACAGAGGACAGCACCACAGAGTACAGACTTGGCTGATGTGTAAAGACAAAGTGATCAAGCCCATTAAAAAAGCATCGTCATGTTAATGGAGCAGCAAAACCTCACAGTGTTTAAGGGTAAAAGAACATGAAGGACTGGGAAACAGATATTGAACTGAACATTGTCAATACATGTAAACTGGAGAAAGCACCACAGGTGACTCAGATGAGAAAGGTGAGGAGGAAGCAGTGTTGGGGCAGGGCCACCCTGCCCTTGACATGCTCTTTGCTGCCCCAGTGTCCCTGCAGGAGTGGGTTTTGTGAGTCTGAAACCTTTCCCTAAGAGCAAGCTTGGGCTGAGGCCGAGGTGCCCAGCACCAGGGATGGCCTGAAAGAGAAAGGTGTGGAGAAAGCAGTGTTGGGGTGTGGAGAGGGTCCACAGCAGGCTGAGGGTCAGATGAAAGAGTTAACAGAAAGAAGAAGCCAGCAGGATTCTTGTGTTTCTGTGAGAAGAAAAAGAAGATAAAGGTAGAGGAAAACAAGGAACATCAGTGCTGAGAAAAACACAATGGAAAAACAAAATCTATCTGTATTTTGGATTTTTGGGGTTACTTTCTCAAAACAGTGCTTCCACCAATGGACTTGAGGAGTGGTGTGGTGATGGCCAATGGAATGGGGTGCACTATGGGGTCAGAAGGGTATAAAATGCTATGTATGGGCACAATAAAGGCTTGGATGAAGTTTCTTAGGGATCTGCTTTGTGTCGCGTCTGCTCCCACAGCGACATTGGGGCAGTGCCACGTTCACCTCAGCAGGTCTTTGGTGGCACCAGTGCCTCTGGAGCCAAACCTAAAAGCACCTTTAGACTGAGATGCAGGGCACCATGGGTGGCACAGATGAAACCAGTGTGCAGTGAGCAAGGTTGGGGCACAGCTTTTGCCACCCCAGTGTCCCTGGAGCTGAATGATTTGTTTTGCTGAACCCTATCAGTCATCACAGACTGGGGGCTGAGGCCCCCAGCCAGATGGGCTTGCATTTTTTATGTACAAACTGGTTTAATTCAAGCTCAGTTTGCATTGCTTATATATATCAATGTTCCTTAATTTGTTGTTTTTATTACTAAAAACTGGTATTGCCATAACAACTTAACTGAGAACAGAGCTTTTCATCCTGTGCTACTTCACAGTATTGCACAGGACATTTTCATTAACTGTTTTCTCCATATTCTCATGATATATTAAGTATTTTAGCATTGATTGCTGGAGTGCTTACAGCATTAGGCCACATAAGCTGACCAAAATAAAAGTTTTTTTAAAAGCTAATGATGTTAATGTTCAACTAGCCCAAAGCAGAATGAAAAAGGCAAGGAAGGACCAAGGAAACAGCTCCAAGAATTGAGGTAATGTCAGATAAAAAAAACCACAAAAAAAATCCCAAAGCCCCCCACAAAACCAACAAAAGAGACAACAGACCAGAAGCAACTGACAAACCTGGGAGTTGAGCACTGGGTGGCTTGAATGGGATTGAAGGTTAATTTTTGGTGTAGTGCTCACTCTGCAGATCCACCCAGCTCAAGCTGTAACCTGAGAACTAAAAAAAGACAAATTGGAAACCTTTCATTTGGAAAAGTGCATTAATTAGCAGGATCCTAGGGTCAGACCCTGTTATCTCAGCCAGTCCAATTAATTCCATAATAGGAGTAGCTGACAAAATACTTTATAATATATGATGTAAAATCTTAATTAGTGTTCAGAGTGTTGTGACAACGTTGTTTGCACATCTACAACCTGACAGATGCTGATACCCAGCTCGAAGATGCACCAAGACTTGAAAGTGGGAGAGAAGAGAGAGGCAATGATGCAGCAGGACAGTTCTGACCAGGCCTGTAGGAGATCTGTGGCTGGCCAAGTTCAAACTCCACTGCTGCTGGTTACTGGAGGCTTGTAACCAACAGGTGATTCAGATTGTGAAAAAGCCCACAAGAGGGACTTGCAGATGAAAACATGTTTAGGACCTCTCTTTGCATACTGGCTTGCATGGAAACCAGTTTTACATAATATTTACATTACAATAGTTAATCCAAAAGAGAAACTTGCTTTCATATGGGTATATATCTGTTCAAATTTTTTCAGAAACTAATAGCCATCAAGTAGGACAGATTCAAATATTTATGTTCTAGAAAGATGCTGTCATCAGACTTTTTTATGTATTTGGATGAAACGAAGTATTTGCCAGTAGCTATCCTCTATTTTACCCATTGGACTCATAAGAATATTCTTCCAAGCCATGATTTTAATTTGAGCCAGTTAATCCATGGAGAATGGCTGAAGGGCAAGCTACAGTCCTAGCCTAATACCTTGCTGAGCATCTAAAATCACCTGCAAAAGCACCTTGATTACCAATAGCAACTCTCAAGGCAATCCTCAGCTGGTCAGCACAGAGGTCTTGCTCGCATCCAGCTTTGACTTGGCAGCATTCTTTTATCTCAGGCTCCCCTGCAAAAAGCAAAGAAATGCAGCTGAACCTTGCTGGAACCAGAGAAACCTCCACTTCTATTCTCACTTGGATTTAGGGAATCTTGCACTTAGTCACCTGTGTCTACATGCCACCTGTTTCCTGTGTATTACACCCCAAAACTACTTCAGACTAGAGTTTATATGAGCCCTGAAAAAATAAAAAGCATTGCACATCTTTCTTTTTCAGCAGATGAAGTGTTAGGGTTTCATTACAATTCGAACATGTAACTCTCTCTGAATGAATCCAAATAATACTTAATTTAGTAAAACATTATGGGGTCTTCAAAAGACTGGAGGAAAATGACAAGAGATTAAGGCAAATAAATAAAACCTGTTTCCCTGTCTCACTGCTCAAAAAAAATTTGTTTCTTGAAGATGAAAAAAAAATTTCTGATGCTACATTTTGCTGAAATCAAGTACTCTGACCAATAGCTTATTTAAGATACTAGACATCAAATATCTTCTAAATAAACTATTAGAAAAAGTTATTTTATCTGAGTTTTAATTTTTTTATTATAAGCATATCCAAACATGTCCTGGTAAACGTATCTTTGGCCATCTCGGTAGAATGAAATGAGTTCGCTTTCAGTAAAACTCATTTCTGCAATCCCGGTGGTAATCTACGGAGATTAAAAAATCTGTTGGTAAAAATGCAAATCCTACATCAATGCACAAATCTGGGGAATAAAGAAATCACAGCAGACTTCCTAATTCCCAAAGCACTACTCCTGATTCCTTCCCCCTTCTTTTAACCCTCCGAGGTTCAGAAATAGAAAATGGCTGAAAGTGAGAAAAACAGAGGAAAGAAAATGGTGTCGAGGCACTGGATTGGTCAGATTTTGCTGCAGAGTCCAAGTTTCTGACACAGAGAAAGAAATATTCCTAGAATTAAGCTTATCAGCAATTAAGAGCAAATTAAGAGTCTTACAATCTTAGGCTTTCCAGGAGAAATATTTCCTCTAAGCATTTCTCAGTGGCTCTTTATTTTCTAGTTTAAATGAAGGCTGTCTAACTCAATCCAAATGCTTCTTAAAGCCACAGCTTTAAGATTTTACAGATTTATAGCATCGAAAAGCCAAAGGGACATAACTTGCAATAACTTAATGGAACAGCAGGCTCCTCAAATTACATAAAACTACCTGCAGTATTAATGTATATAAAGGTGCCAAAAAGTCAGAAATAATTTCAGAAACGTACATTTATCAGGCAACAACAGATCTATTTCCTAGGAGAGCAAAGGGACGTGTGTGTGACTGAATTTACAGTCAAGGAGAAATCTATTTCCCAGGTAGGTTCACAAAAATCACAGAACACGATGAATAGGGAAGAGCCTCCATTTAAAAATTATTCTAGACACACCACGTTTTAAAGCAGATACTTCTTGGAAAGCACTTGGTTGGTGCTTCAACAAGCACAAATTCTTATTAAAAATAAATCTTGAACAAATCTTTTTGAGAGCCTCAGTAAAAACAGAAAATTGATGCATGCCAAAATCTCTAAAAATTAAAGATGCGTGCGGTCCTAGACAAGACATCAGCAAGGAGCAGAGTACTTGGAAAAGGGACTCAGAATCATAAAACTTCTTTACCTCCACCTTACATTCCATACAAACACCATTCCCTCCAATTTCAGAAATTCATATAACTCAGAAATAAATAGTAATGCTTGAGATGGGCTGAAAATGTCCACAGGACATCACTCACGAACAGGATTGATAAAACACGGAGAAAAACTACCGCCAGTGCTTCCAGGGAAGGCGGGAAAGGAGTTTTTGTGCCTTCAGAAACAAAGTGAATTCCACGCACTCTCCCAAAAACAAGAGTGAGGAGGAATACAATATTGCATAATAAAGCAAAAAAACCTGAAAAACAGTAGAGGGACAAAGGCAGAAAAACACTCACAATATACAAGAGGCATTTATAGAGCGTTTAACTACTCAAAACACGAGAGCAAGATCCTATAAGTTTCTTCCATTACGAATGGAGTTTGAACAAATGATTTTAAGACGTACGCTGAGGCAAAACCCACCGATCTTTTAAGCATCGTCCCTTTCACAATAGACTTTCACGAATACAAAACTACATGAGGAAAACCACATAGAAAGCAGTTTACCCTGAGCAAAATCTGGTTTTAGCAAAACCCCTTTAAAAGAACTGCACTAGTTTTGCAGAAGTCAGGATCTAATTCCTACTATATACGATAAACACTGAGCACTGTATGTTTAGTACTTACTTAACACGGTAGATCTTGACTACAAGGCCACCCAAAAAATTTCCCACCGCTAACAAGGAATTTACAGCCCTTTAGTGACGCTGTGGTGGCTCTTAAAAGAGCCTTTGGGTTTTCGATGGTCTCAAATTTCCATTAATCAACACCTTATGCGCGCTCTCCGCGGATGCGGCGGGCCAGCTGGATGTCCTTGGGCATGATGGTGACGCGCTTGGCGTGGATGGCGCACAGGTTGGTGTCCTCGAAGAGCCCCACCAGGTAAGCCTCACTGGCCTCCTGCAGCGCCATGACGGCCGAGCTCTGGAAGCGCAGGTCCGTCTTGAAGTCCTGCGCGATCTCGCGCACCAGGCGCTGGAAGGGCAGCTTGCGGATCAGCAGCTCCGTGGACTTCTGGTAGCGCCGGATCTCGCGCAGCGCCACCGTACCGGGCCGGTAGCGATGCGGCTTCTTGACGCCGCCCGTGGCCGGCGCGCTCTTGCGGGCAGCCTTGGTAGCCAGCTGCTTGCGGGGCGCCTTCCCGCCCGTCGACTTACGCGCTGTCTGCTTCGTGCGCGCCATGTCCCGCACAAGAGCCCCGGCTACTGAGTGAGAGAACACTGGGCGAGCAGTGGCCACGGGGCCGCTATTTATGGGCAGCAGCGCGCTGTGATTGGCCAGCGCCAAGGGACGGCTGCCATTGGCCACGGGGCACAGTTTGAAAATCCCGCGCGCTGGGGGGAAGCGGGGGGCGGATGGGGACGGGCGGGAGCCGCTGCTGCGGCTTCCCGCTCCGCACCGCACCGCCCCCTCCTTCCAGCCCGACGTCCCTTCCCTCCCTCCCGTCCTTACTTCTCCCTCTCCCGCCGTCCCTCCACGGGTGAAGCCGCGCTCCCTTTTCTGTCATCCCTCAGCTCCGCTCTGCCGAGCGGGGCTGCTGACGGCCCGGAGCACTCTCACAGCTACAGCCCGCTAGCAGACATGGAGTTCTTACTCTGGCTCCGCAGTAGTTTTCTCGCGGCCTCTGCCCGGGACGACCAAGATTTAACCCCCTATATGTAAATGGCGTTTACCCAAATACAGCCTTCCTTGAGCGTCCCGAGCTACCTGAGCTTCGTTAAAGCCCTCATCTTCGCTTTTTTATATTTTTAATTTTTATTTTTTTCTCCTAGAGTCTTATATTTACTTGTAATTTCCTATTGTGTTGTCGCTTAGGGATTTCTTAATTCTGCCGCTGTTCCACATTAATGTAGTACAGCACTTCCTTATGAAATCTTAAGGACTTAAAGAATTATGCTGTCCTCTATACCATTTTGTATCTGCTGTGCTCGCTGCTATAGGTTTCACTAAACATCATCTTTTAATTATTACAGACTAATCCCTAGTTTTCCGGGTAAACAAACCACTTTGGCTTACGGCCAAGTCATTTCAGAATGACATCTTGTATTTAAAGGGAGCAACAAACTGTCATTGTCAATAATTAGAACAAATGCGCTAAAACGGAAAGAAACCTTTAATAGCTTTAAAACTCATTAGGCGCTTAACACGCTTTTTATAGACCTGCGGGACCATCTGTCAGAGCACGACAGACAAAACGACCCAAATCTTTCCGAATACTTAAGCAGGATAAACATATTCCCCTAATCCTTTAACAGCATGTTCTAACCCAGGGACTACCAGACAGAAGCATCACTCACCGAAAAGAATCAAGTGTGATCGACTCTTTTACTGAAAATGTGGGTGGCTCTTAAAAGAGCCTTTGGGTTGAGAGTGACGGTCCGAGACGCCCTACTTGGAGCTGGGGTACTTGGTGACAGCCTTGGTGCCCTCGGACACGGCGTGCTTGGCCAGCTCGCCGGGCAGCAGCAGCCGCACGGCCGTCTGGATCTCCCGCGACGTGATGGTGGAGCGCTTGTTGTAGTGCGCCAGGCGCGACGCCTCGCCGGCGATGCGCTCGAAGATGTCGTTCACGAAGGAGGTCATGATGCCCATGGCCTTGGACGAGATGCCCGTGTCGGGGTGCACCTGCTTCAGCACCTTGTACACGTAGATGGAGTAGCTCTCCTTCCTAGTCTTTCTACGCTTCTTGTCACCTTTCTTTTGAGTCTTGGTGACAGCCTTCTTAGAGCCCTTCTTGGGAGCGGGAGCGGATTTAGCTGGTTCCGGCATTTTACGGGTCTGTCAATACCTGGCTGCCGCAGGAACGACGTAGATACAAAAGCGGACTCCCCCCTTATTTATAGGGACGGTATGCAAATGAGATGACTCAACACTGTGCTTTTCCATTGGACAACTCCTGTCCGTGACGTCAAATAGGCTTCCTCTTCCATTGGTCGACTTTTTCATCTGCGTTCTCATTGGATAAATTCACAATCCTTGTCTGCACCAATCAGAAGTCCAAGCGGACCTCGGAAGGAAGGTATAAAAGGGCAGAGTGAAAGCTCTTGGAACATTTATCCTTTTTCTCGGCGCTTTCGTAACTTTTATTCAGCTTTTTTTGACTCGCTCGGCTTCCTCTGCATTTCCAGCGATGTCTGGGCGCGGGAAGCAGGGCGGGAAGGCGCGCGCCAAGGCCAAGTCGCGCTCGTCGCGGGCCGGGCTGCAGTTCCCCGTGGGCCGCGTGCACCGGCTGCTGCGCAAGGGCAACTACGCGGAGCGCGTGGGCGCCGGCGCCCCGGTGTACCTGGCTGCCGTGCTGGAGTACCTGACGGCCGAGATCCTGGAGCTGGCGGGCAACGCGGCCCGCGACAACAAGAAGACGCGCATCATCCCCCGCCACCTGCAGCTCGCCATCCGCAACGACGAGGAGCTCAACAAGCTGCTGGGCAAGGTGACCATCGCGCAGGGCGGCGTGCTGCCCAACATCCAGGCCGTGCTGCTGCCCAAGAAGACCGACAGCCACAAGGCTAAAGCCAAGTAAATCTCATCTGACAAACAACCCAAAGGCTCTTTTCAGAGCCACCCACATCTTCCTAGAAAGAGCAGGAACGCTTGAACCCGGGGATACGTGATATGTCAATGTATTTAGAAACTTGAAATCTCCCGGTTGTGGGGGGCCTTCTAAAATGTTATGTATCTTTACATTCTACCTTGGTGATCTGTAGCTTCCTGCCTTTTTTATCTTGGAAGTTACGGTACTTATGTAAGCGTGCGTCAGTTCCTCTTTGAAAAAAAAAAAAAAATCAATAAAAGGTAGCGGTTGTGACTGATGAAATCGGTCATCGCTGTGTGGATTAAGAAATGTGAACTCTGCGAGGGTGCGCTCGCTGCCTCCCGGCGCTTGCTGGGGGTGAAGAGCCTCTCACCCCGGGGGAGGGAGGGAGGAAGGACGGGGCGGGTTCGGGACCTCCCCCGGCCAATCCGGCTGGAGCGCGCGGCCTTCAAACCTCGGGGGGACCGGGGCATCTCCCTGCGGGCCCGGCCGCCCTGGGATCCGGCTGGAAGAGGGATTCCAGTGCCTTGCGAGCAGCGCTTGCTGCGGTTTTCTGCTTTCTGAGGTTCTCTCTTTTTTTTCTCTTTTGCAACTTCGAGCTTCCGGGCAATAATAAGAAAAGCGTAAGTACTTCCCTGGCGGGCAGATCCGGAGGGTTACAAAAGGCAGCATCAGGTACTCTGAATGAAGTGATGGTGACTGCAGTTTGCAGAATTGGCTCGTGTGAGAGCTCATGGAGAAGCACTACGGAAAGTCACACGTACCTGGGGAAGGGAGTCCTCGTGTGCTAGTCTGGACTGGAAATGATGTTTTAATTCCTTCATCCTGACAGCATGAGTAATGTTTAAAAGCGCTCCTGTTGTTTTTCTGCAAAAGTTTCCTTTGTTTATCCAGTATGGTCTCCTAGGTACTGCTGCCTTTGGCTTCGCTGAGCTATTCGGTAACACTTTTTTGGATTTGGTAGCCTTAGCTGTCTTTTTTGGTGCCCTTGGTCGCTACTGCTGCCTGGGCCCGCTTGACTGCGGGAGCCCCTTGCACCCCGAGAACCGGGGCACAGCCTTGGTGACGGGGAAAGCTGCGGTGTTTAAAGCTGCCAGCCACTGCATCCCTCTCCTTGGGGTGCCAGGGGCTTAGAAATCAAGACAATACTCCAGGGATCGGGATTTACAGGGAGGAGCTTCTCCGCCATTGGTGCCTCGGGGTGGCCGCACTGCTGGGAGTCGGCGACAGCTCCCCTCTCTTTCTTCTGAACAGGTTAAATTCTGGGTTTTTCCCTTTCCCCCCACCACTGTAAAGAACACCCCGTCCCCTCCTTTGTTAGAATAGATGTAGGTAAATGACGATTTAGGTTTTCTTTTCGTTCAGAAATGTTTTATGCTGAAAACTCCCCGAAGGGAAGGCAGGAATGCAGCGCCGGGAGCCTCCGAACGAGGCTGCCTAAGGGCTGGGGAGTGGGTTTTCTTTGTTCTTTAAAATCCTCCCTTGAGAACTACGGCGAGGAAAACTCTGCTTTTTTGCCCTTTTTTATTTTGTTTTGTTTTTTTCCTCTTTATTTTTCTATTTTTTCTTTTGTGTTTTTTTTTTTTTCCAGTGTTCTGCCTCAGGAGGCGGAGGAGTGAGTCACTGGGGCGTTCTGTTAATGGAAAATGTTTTTCAAGCAGAGGGAGATAACGTGGGAGTGCCGGCCTGAAGTCTTGCTTGGAAACAAGATAAGAATCTCGGCTCTGTTCCTAAGCGGTATATGATTCTTAAACAATTTTCAGTTTGAGTTGTTTTCCATTGGATGTGTTTGGTTGTTTTTTTGTGTGTGTGTGGTTTTTTTTTGTTTGTTTGGGTTTTTTTCCTTGTTTGTTATTTTGGCTTCTCGTTTCACTCCCAAAACAGGAAGAGGACTTTTTATTTTTTTTTTCCCCTCCTTTTTTAAATAATCTCTGTCCTGCTGAAAGAAATTGCACTAGGTATTAATCATCTACCATTCAAAGCTGGACTTTGAAACAGCAGGAACTGCAGGGCTTTATTAGTAACTGTTCTGAAATTTGAGGCTAGAATTAGGCTTAAAACACTTCAGGATTTTGTTTTGTTTTGTTTCATAATCTCAATTTTGCTGTATTTTGCATATTTGGTAAAATAATCTTCTACTGGTGTATATTTAGCAGAGAAGGAAGAGATTGTGTGGGCCTGGAGAAGGGAATTGGTTTGTGCAAGGTTCTGATTGGGCCATTTGAAAATCCTGAAACAGAGGCCTCCCGGCTTTCATTTTTGCCCTTGAAAACACGGTGCGAGGAGGGAGCATTTATTTTCAAGAGTAATATTCATATTTCCTTCTCAGGCACCTCAGTATTTATGCTCTGCTTCTCTTGGAAATTACTTATTTTGTTGTTTTTTTCCCTTATTTCTACCCCCTCTCCCCATGTTTTACAAATCATTTGAAAACACATCTCTTTTAACAGTTTTCAAATAAGATATGGGTAGATTGCAATCTAGTGTAAAGTGTTTGTTGATTTTCTATTATGTTCATCACTAAAAACTCGTTAAGCTCAGTAGTGTAATTTATTAAACTCACAATTTCATTCTCTGCCTTTCTAGCCGTGATTCCTCCTTGAGACCTCTCAAGCTTCCTTATACAGAGATTTTTAAATATTGTTGCATTCTCTATGCCACCAACAGGATTCTCATGATGGGTTTAAATGTATTTTTGTTAGTACAGGAGAACTGATGAGTTCTGGATGCTAAATCCTCTTTTTCTTCAGTTATGCCTGGAATGGTTTTTGTACAATTAATAAATTAATGCAATTAATACTGCATATCCGTGTTTCTCCTGATCACTCATTCACAATTAATGTATGTTCTTCTACCTCAGGTAACTGCTTGCTCTAAATGAACACCTTCTCTGTCTGCATACCACAGTTAAAAGATTTTTTATATATTGAAATAGAAGAGAGAAACGTATTATATGACCTCTTTGAGTATGTGACAAATGAGAGTCCAAAGTGGTGGTTTTTTGAAAGCAGAATATTTTATTTTGTTGCAGATGTGGAATTTCCCTTTCCAAATTTAGTTTGATCTATCCAGCCAACCTGAATTCTCAAAAAGGAGTAAGGATTTAGATTTAAGAACAGTGCATCACAGATGCTTTTGGTCATGAAATAAACATTTAATATCATATGACCTTAATACATTTTGAACCTTGAAGTCCACACAAAATATATCCTTATGCTGTAAAGTACCAGCCTTAACATAGGTAGTTCAGTCTCTCAGATTGCTTGCTCCCAAGTAGATGTTACTTAACCTGTAGTTACCCAATAGCATTTTGTTTTCCATAAAGCAGGGAGAGATAACATACAAGACAATATTAAAAAACAAACAAACAAAAAACCAAGATCAAATTATGCTCAGTTGCAGAAATATTCAGAAAGATGCTGAGAATCAAGTCTAAAAAAAGCGTTGTTATAAAAGAACATTTACTATTAGGCTTTGTCTTAGTAACCATAGAGAGCTGAAAAAATGTCCTTGGATATTAATTTTCTCCCAAAAATCTTTTTCTTGTTGTTTTGGTTTGTTTTTTGCTGATTTGGTTTTGAGGATTTTTTGTTTGAGTTTTTTTTTAATTTGTTTTATAAGAAGATTATCTATGCTTGATTTTTCTCTAGTGACCTGATTGAGGACAGGATAGAAATACCGTTCCAACTCCCTTGGTAGCAAGCAGTGTTCCAAAGTCTTGGGGGAAGATTTCTTTATTTTTTTTTTTTTCATGAGAATTTGCTTTAGGCTAGAAATTTTATCAACAATGTAGGCAAGCTAGGTTATTTACCTAGCCCAAACGTGAATGGAATTTACAATGCTATCCCCAGGATGCTCCAGGCTCTTCCTTGTGAAACTTAAATGAAAATTTGCATCAGCTGGTCTATGCAAAGGTTAAGTTTTAATAGTTTTTTTATTAAGTGACTCTCGAATTCCTTCACTCAAATTTTTAGTTTCTTTAGTATCTTTCTGCAACCTTACATAGCATACCCAAATAAAATACAGTTAGAACATCTTACAAATCTGGTGTTATTCTATATAAATAATTTGAATAACTCCTTAAGTATTAGTAATTTACTTAAACACTTAAACCCAGACCTGCTTAGACACCAAAAGCCCTTTTTAAAGAATGAGTTACTGTTTATTTCTCTAAAATACATAGCACAAGGTCAGCTTAGGCTTTGGTGCACATGTGTGAAATTCACTTGTCTCCATTCACACAGGTTTGAGAACATTGCTGCTCAGCGGGATGTTTGGGTCAAAGTGGAAGCCAATTGCAGCTTCTACAGCTGTAGAACGGCGGCAGAAAACCGCGTTTGCTTGCACAAAAATTGCTTTGAGCTCGTCTATCACGGGCAGGGAAGCGGACTGCCGTGAAGCCCAGCTAAAAGCCTGTGTGTTTTTCCCTTTGTGCCATCGCTGTGGCTCGGCCGGGCGGAGCGGGGGCTCCATCGCTCCGGGGCCCGGCGGGGAGCGGGGCCGCAGCACCACCCGCCTGGGCTGCAGCAATTTCCAGCCAATCCTGCCCGGGAAACAGCTCCCCTCCCTCCTCCTCCTTCTCCTCTTCTTCCTTCTCCTCCTTCTCCCTCCCTTCCCCTGTGGCTCGCTGTGGTTCCCTTCCCTGCTCCGCTCCCCCACCCTCGCCCACCAGTTATTTTCCTTTCCTTCACCCTCGGCCAAGGGAGGTGAATCCTCTGGGCCACACGGCCATGGGTGACCAGCAGCTCGTCAGACTGCTCTGAAAACCAGCCTGTGCTTTCGGAATGCTTCTAGTGTTCTTTTTATCAAGTGCAAGCTGGTGGTTTTCGACCGCCGTTTATTTAATCCCGTGGCTGCTGCCCAGGCTAAGGGGGAAAAAAATCCCAACAAGCAAACAAAAGCAAAGGAAACCCTAAACAACCCACCATGAAACCAAAATAAGCCAAGGAGCATTTGGATTTGGGGATAACCAGCAAGACCTGCTGAGGGTTTCTGCATAAGGAGCAGCTGGGATGTTCCAGCTTGCTCTGTTAGAAAATATTATTTCAGTTCTGCAGGTTTCAAAGCTGAGAGAGCAATGGACCATCCTACCTGATAAATACTTCTATCAGGAGCCCATGATCATTACATCCTTCCCTTCCTCGTGTCGATTCTATCCTAAAACACTTGATGCATTGCTGCATGGTACAGAAACCCTGCCAGAGTAACGAGGCTGATACAAACAAACCTTTTTTTTCCTCTCCAGGAGGCACCTCTGTGTATCACATTTTTGATTGTTTCAGGCCTCTGCACTTTGCATACAAATGACACCTCATTTCT